TGTTACATGCACTACTTGTTGTTAATTACTTACTCAGTGTCTATCTGTGTAATTACACTGAAAAAGTCACCTTAAAATAAATAATATATTATATTACCCTATCTGAATGTCTCCTATATGGCTGTGTTATCTTATCCGCAGTGTCATCTCTTTATCAGCCCTATCCCGACCCCAGCCGATCAGGCAGACTGCATCAGAACCGCACACATGAGCACAGCTCTGCTTACACATAATCATAAAATAAAATAAAATAAAATAAAATAAAATAAAATAAAATAAAATAAAATAAAATAAAATAGAATAGAAGAAAGAAAGAAAGAAAGAAAGAAAGAAAGTAAGAAGAAAATAATATTTAATACATATGTGTTTATATGTAATTACTGTGCAATAACAATTCACATGATATTATATTATATTAATCTGAACATTTAAAAAAAACTGAAATAGAACATTTAAAAAAGTGAGCTACATCCAGGTGCATATTAAATTAATAACATGTTAATAACAAATTAATAATAGTGTAATTACGGTTTTAAAAACTGTTTTTAAGATAGAATCCTGGAATCCTTCAGTTTGTATTAAATGTTTTTATAGGACAGGATGAGAGGCGGTCAGTAACCTGGATAACAATCCACGTGTTTTTCTTTACTTCCTCTTTCGTTCATGGAAACTACCTTCTACCTTTGTTTCTGTTTCTTTCTGCGATGCCTGCTGAATGAACGCGCGGCTTTCCTCCTCGCCGGCGCTGACGGACGGGATTGGATCTGTGTGACAGGTGAGTCGGCCCAGCTGCTACCTGTGTCAGACAGCAGCTGTCCGTCTCTCGCTCACACACGCACACGCACTCACAAACAGTCAGTCACGCATCCAGTCACACTCATTTAAAAACATAAATGCATACACTCCCACATAGCCATTCACCCCAAACAATCAGCTCTGCTCAGATGCCCAGCTAAAGGAGCAACATGCCCTGACACACAGTTTAAAAACTACTGAAACGGATGCTATAGTTTTTTTTTTTTTATTAGGATTCATCAGAAATTTAATCTGTTTATCAGTATGTTTTCGCTGCTCTAGCTTAGTGAAGGAATAAAAACAAACCAGGCACAAAAGAATTCATTAAATATGTACAGTATGTATCAAAAACTACTCTATCAACTATCAGTCCAAGAATTTTTCTGCAAAATTACAATCTGACATATTAAGCATTTAAAAGGTTTTTGTTTGTGTTGTCCTTGTATAGTCCATCCAGTCTCTTCCTCCATGACAGCATCACACACTCTTTGTCTCAGTATTATGATGGCAGTGAATGTACTCTAATGGCCTCTGTCTGTTCCTCTTACACACCTCGCTCAGTTACACCTGTCACCGGTCGACCGCCTCTCCTCTTCGCTCCCATCCCCTCTCTTTCCTCTGCAGTTGAATAAAGGAGATCAAACGGTGGGCATGTTGTTAAAGCCCATGTCAGTGAGACACCTGTGCTCTGCATAGTACAGTTAATTCACCTGGACTCAAACTCTACATAATTACTTGTATTTCTGAGAAGAAGAAAAAAACATGTGAAAAAAAAAGTTAAAATGTGCTGTCACAATATCACATATTCACTAAGTCACCAGGCTTATATATTATGATAAAGAATAATTTGGAGCTCATATTACAGGCCCAAACTGAGCCAAAAAATAAGATGAATTTCTGATAGATGTAATCTGACTTCTGATGTAAATCAATGAGATATATAGTATAGCAGACTGGCATTAAATAATTTAAATACCATTTGTGTCTCCCAATAATATGGCTTAGATTATATTTAAATGCTTGGTTTGAGCAAAGCTCTCAAGTTGCTTCAGTCCAGTAAGTGTTCAACTTAAAATATTACAAACAATATAAAAGTGATTCTTATGTTTAAAAATCAGTAAAGTTTTCACAGCAAAAAGATGTGTTAGCCACAACCTGAAGGTGGACGTTTTTACAATTATACTAAAAGGCCTTTCACTTGCTAAAAAATTCTAAACTATTAATCAGACAACAGAAGGCATGCAGTAGATTGTGTACAAAAGGTTTTTCCACGCATCATGTTGATCATTTAGAGGCCTTGGGGGGAAAAAAAAGAAATCTGTGTATTAAATATTACACAGTAGATTTTACATGGTTAATGAGCTATTTCTATTTGTGCTGACCCTTAAAGTAAACATGAAGGATTGTATTATATGCATCAAAAAAGAAGAATGCATAAGGACATTGTTACAAAAGTAAAAGGGTTAGATGTCAGCCATAAAAAAAAAAAAAGTAATTTCTTAGGTGGAGCGATTGAATGGCACATTACAAAGACAAACATTTTGTCATTTTTCTACCCCCTGGGATAATTCAAATTATTTCAACATTTTTGTTGTCCAATGCTGATGTATTTTAATTCTGCACATCTGACCAGTGAAGGCTGCATGGTAAGTGCACTGGTTCAACTCCTTAAGAGCTTCTCTGGATAGTGGGCTTGTGGTGACCCATGCAGCGAGCACCTGGCCTCTGCATTGCTACCTGAAGAGCAGTGCAATTAAGCTTTTACCACCCCTGATTAAAACACAAACACACTCACAGACACACACACACACATGCACGCGCTTGAACCATCCCTGAACTCTTGTTGCCTAAATCACGTCTGGTCCAAAAAGACCATAGTGGAAAACAATCTTTCTGCTCTCTCTTTAGTTATGGGATTTAGCAGATCGCCAGTTTGACACCAGATAACATTCTTAAATTCCCTCTTTTTCTAAGGTTGTGTATTAGTGGCATCTTTTAACGTGGGAATGAATACAGCTTTAGCACAGGCTGCTGAGTGACCTCATTATAGGTGTGGAGCCAGACAAAAAAAAAAAAAAAAGCTTCTTAGGACACTTGCTCTTTTCACATGTTGCATTGTGTCTGCAACATCAAAAGCTCAATTGAGCAAAGCACTGTTCATCTGCAGCTTATCGCTGCCGGCTCACTTTGATTAGCTCACTTTCAGCCCACAATGGACAGATATCTTGCTGGAGTGAGACAATGCCTACAAAGCTGATGCTTCAAATCCTTCAAAGCAGTGGTTTGATGTGTGCATCTACCTCAAAATACAGTACAGATTGATCCATAGTTGAATAATCGTACCTAACATTATTTTACTCCTTAGATTCACTGACAGGTTGTTTGGGTTAACACACAATGGTTCTTTCATGGCATCACTGTGAAAGTTCACTTAACTCGACAAATTACAAAATGTATGCAATATATGATCAATTTTAGTGATTAGAATCTGTCATATTTAAAAGCCCTACAGTCCTACAAGTTCTAAATATATTGTGATGATTAACATGAAAATAGAGGTATTTTGGTTATATTATCGTCTTAATTGTAACCTTTAATAATTGTGGCTGACTAATTAAACTCAATAAAAATGCCTCCTTTTTCCTACTTTTTTATATTTAATTTGCAGTATTGCGGCAAGACAGGTGGGTTAATGTCCTATAGCATTTACAGTACCCTTCAAACTTTATTTGTATGTTCCCTTCATCGTACCGAAGATAGCGGAATACTCTTTAGCGAAGTCTACTTTTGCAGCAAACTTACGGTTGATAACAATGCTAGTCAAGTATCTTGTTGTTCATTAATATCCTGACGACATTTTGTGCAATGTGAATATCAAAAAATACAATCATTGTGTTATGTACGTTTTGTCAATTTTCAAGTTTAAACGTGTTGTTCTTAGGCGGAGCATGTGTCTTCCCATGAGCACAACAATGAATTCTGCTGGTCTTGGATCAGTGTTCAACAGCTCAAGTTCAAAACTTAATTACTAGTAGGAAGGAAATGCTGAATCTAGATCAGCAGCTGCGTGCTCCTTCGACTTCGTTTACATTGTTTACATCAAACATGATATGTCGTTTCTAAAAATGATTTTACATACGTTTTAAATAAACAAATAGAGTGTAATATGTGGATTAAAATATGTTTATTTAATAATGGTTGCATTAAAAATGAGTTCAGCCAAGTATGTGAAAATAAATTACATCCATATTCGCATTTAAATCTCAGTCAACTCGAAACTAGCTTACAATGAGTTGGCTTTTTAGATGAATGAACCTGACAAGTCTCTTGCAAACAATATGATTTTTCACTGGATTTGAACTTGAAAACGTTGACACTATCAGTGGTGACCTCATGCGAGGTGCAATAATTTTACAACATTTTGCTACATTAAAGGGATAGTCCACCCAAAAATGAAAATTTGATGTTTTTCTGCTTACCCCCAGGGCATCCAAGATGTAGGTGACTTTGTTTCTTCAGTAGAACACAAACGAAGATTTTTAACTCAAATCGTTGCAGTCTATCAGTCATATAATGGAAGTGAATGGGAATCACGGCTTTGAGAGTCAAAAAAACATACACAAACAAAACCAAAGTAAACGTTAATGTGAGAATTAGCATTCAAAAAAATATCCATTGTCTTTTATCAATGGCGATGACTTTAAAGGGATAGTTCACCCAAAAATGAAAATGTATGTTTATCTGCTTACCCCCAGGGCATCCAAGATGTAGGTGACTTTGTTTCTTCAGTAGAACACAAACGAAGATTTTTAACTCAAATCGTTGCAGTCTATCAGTCATATAATGGAAGTGAATGGGAATCACGGCTTTGAGAGTCAAAAAAACATACACAAACAAAACCAAAGTAAACCCTGCGGCTTGTGCCAATACATTGATGTGTAAAGACACGAAATGATCGCTCTGTGCAAGAAACGGAACAGTGTCAATGGTCCATTTGAGAGATAGGTGGCGGTAATGCACTTATAAGTCTGCAATTCGCCATAAAGCAAGAAGTGCGTTTGTGTTCTACTGAAGAAACAAAGTCACCTACATCTTGGATGCCCTGGGGATAAGCAGATAAACATCACATTTTCATTTTTGGGTGAACTATCCCTTTAAGAAAGCGGTTTTTATGTTAGCTATTTATTTATTTATAAAAAGCTTTGTTTATTTTATGCCTATTTATGGTGCTCAATAAAGAATCCATAGCTCCTCAGGTCAAACTGTACTAAAAGAGCAGACTTTAATAGGCCAATGAAGAGCCTTAATTGTTCAGAGAAAAGGCAGGCAGAGAGCGGCAGACTTGAGTCAGTGACTCCGGTTGGCTGTCCTGTTGGTGTGGGCGGGCATTCGCGTCTCCAGGCATGGCAGCCTGTGTTTGCAGTTGTCCCTAACAGCGCCGACCGACTCCAGCCCAAACACCTGTGTTTGCTTTTGCGCTCACTCCCCCAATCTTCTCGGTGCAGGTCACATGATCGGCAGATAGCCCTGGCACCATGGGAATACAAAAGCAGGGGCTTTTAGCGCTGTTAATCATTAATGTCAGGCTTCCTTGTGCCCCTCTCTCTTGACGTTGCAGATGTGAATGTTATCTTGCTCATGCATCCAGGTCAGACGTGACTGTGGGTAGCTGCAGGTGAACGTGGCCGATGGAAAGGGTTGAACCAGCAGTTGCCAAATGAAGTGGCACGACGATGAAGATGACTGCTGATTGGTTCAGATCTAAAAAGAAAAGCATATTCAACATGATTAGAGTGTGAAATATTTGTAAAGTGTATA